AAGGCAATACGGGCAGTGAACAGAAGTATGTTTGTTCAGTTTGCTTCAAACTGATACCTGAAGACTATCGCGAGATACACGAAAACTCGCACGTCAACCCCTCAAATAAAGTCAACTGCGACATTTGTAATAAAAAGTTCCAATCAATGCAGGATCTAAAGATGCATATGAATGTACATAATATAGATAAGGTTAGTACAAATGTATAATAATATTTACTAACTATTTGTGATAGTAATTATTAGTTATAGTACTGTTCATTTACCTTGGCTGCTCTAAAGTTCGCGCAGGTCGCTGCGCGGATCATAATTTATGGTGTAGCGGGATGCGGGGGGAGGGCACTTCGCATCGCGATGATCGAAGGCCGCAAAGATGGTCGCTCCTTCTTTTTTTTTCGTATAAAATGCGATGAAAAGACAGCGTTTAAATTCAATTTAAACGAACATTCGAACGATGCTTTTTTAGTCGTTAGTCGATCGCACAACAAAATATCTTTATAATTAATATAACAAAAGATTCTTGTATTTCATGTCGGTATAAGTTGTAAGTTTTTAAGTAAACCTTCTTTTTCTTTGTATATAAATAACTATTTTGTACTCAGGTTTTTTCTGGAAAAGAAGATACATCACTACCTTATAAATGTTTATATTGTAATAGAAAGTTTGCTAGACCACATGAGAAAGTCAAACACGAAAGGATTCATACAGGTATGTACTATTAGTAATAAAGCTGCAAAGTTTAAACACGCTTATCTCCAGAATTAGTATTCAGATTTGAATATATTCTGATATTGTTTACTGAATTATTAAGAAATGTTATAATTAACATCATATTAAGACATGGTTTTCCAACAGAAATTAAAAACAACACAACAAAAACAACTTTATGACGGCTCGCAATTTCGTTCGACTCGCTTGACTCAATTTTTTATTTCCGCGGGATTTAAAGAGATGCAGGAGCTTTCTGCTGCAGTGATCCCATTTGGCACTCACCCGCAAAAACTTGCGCCCCCACTTATCAACGAGCAGTAATAAACTTTGAACTTGACTATCCTGCACATTTTAGGTGAGAAGCCGCATACATGCGAGATCTGCGGCAAGTCGTTCCGCGTTTCGTACTGCCTCACTCTACATATGCGCACGCACACCGGCGCGCGGCCCTACACCTGCCCACAGTGCGGGAAGAGGTAACACTATCATCTTTTATAACTAATATTATAAAGAGTGACAGAGACAGAGAATCATAAATAAATGAAATTTTTATGTATGTAATGAAAATGGTTAAAAACTATAATATTCCTAACATAGGTTATGTTAAATATTGTTTTTAAATGTCTAAAACCGTATGTGCACCCGTTATTTATAATTTGTTTTTTTTTATAAGCTATCAGTCTCCAATCATTTAAATTCATCTTTAATGTTGCTATATAAAAAAATACCTTATTTTTAGAAGATGATTTCATATTTGACGTGATCTAAGCCATGTGTCGTTATGAAATCTTATGATAGCGTCATATTGCCTATATCTCTATAGGATGTCCCATTTCGGCACATTTCAATTTTACGATCGCATCTATCAACTCGTAATCGTATTTCATTTTATAAACGTTTCAATTTATTATTACAGAAATGTGCTATTTTAATGCAATATTCAATAACTCATCACTTTTATTTGATTCTTGATTTACGATATTTTAGTATACTGTATTCTAACTGGCAGTCGCCGGAGACTCCGTCGGCTTGATTAAAAAAAAACTGAATATGTAATATATGCGTTCTTCCAGACTGTGTTCTACATCTTTGCCAAATTTTATCAATATCTAGAGATACCTTCTAACAAACATCCATCCATACATCCAAACATTCGCATTTATAATATTAATAAGATTGTCCCTAGGTTCAAAGCACACAGCGTATACAATCATCATCTCCTCACACATTCAGAAGTGCGAGCGTACAAATGTCCGCTTTGCCCCAAGGCCTTCAAGACGTCCGTTCAACTCGCAGGTCACAAGAACTCACACACAAAACCCTTTTCCTGTACTCAATGTAATCGGTAAGTACTTATAAAACTACATATAGTATATTGGCACATCGGGTATAAGAATACTCTTTTGTTATACGTGCCAACTCAAACGCCGGGTACTAATATTTAAACTAAATGATTCACGATATTAAGTGGACGGACTCCAATTTAATCCATATCTGTAATTACTACTTTATTGACGTTTCTATATTTTTGAAATTTGAAAGGAACTCTTTGTTTCGTTATCAAAATGTACTAAATACAATTTAACCAAATCAATGCTCTTCTATCAGCAAATACTTAACGTAGATTATATATATTTTATAATATTATGCATACATGTATGCGGTCTGTAATAGAAAATTTCCGTCATAGACCATTCGCATCGCTGTATGCTGTGAGACTTCATACGGAGGTGCATTTAAGAGAGAACATCCTTAAGTTTTCATGTTCTCTTTGTGGTGCAAGCTACGCGAGAGCTTTCGCGCTAAAAGATCACATCAAACAAGCACATAAAGACGCAGTTGATAATAATCTGGTGAGTTGTTTTTATTTAAAGTTGTTGCTTATGGTATGTGAAAAAATGTTTATCTTTTACTAATATTTATCAAAACTGAAACTAGGATCATAGGCCACAGATTTAAATCTTCGTGAAGGTTCGTGAAGAAGAAATCTGCGAACCAAAATTATTTCAAATATCTTGAAAATGATTTTAACTGAACTATGTTGTTACAAAACATATGCGTGAACGAATACATCGTATTTTAATTACTTGCGGTATTCAACTGTTTTAAAATAGATTAGCAAAGATGTTTTTATGTAACTTTTGTTATGAAATGTTTTAATTATACTTTTAATATCGTTTAAAATGAAATCGTTAACACATGTCGTACCCCCCGCGTCGCCGACGTTATTTTAACATGTTTATAGAATATTTATTTATGGCTTCCATTATCGAGAAATAGATTTTGACGGACTACTGTTATGATGAGAAAATATTATTATCAAACTACGAGTATTTTCAAAGTAAAGATAAAATAGCATAAGTCAATGGTAAAATTATAAGGAACTAGAGGTTAGGATAAAAAATCCAATGAACAATTTTACTTTTGTACCTTTTTTTTTTGAAGTAGAGTAGCTAGAGTAGGTCGATATTCTTTTGTTATGGAGAGGAGCAAAAGGGCAATATGTTAAATACAATGAACTGTTTGATTACATAAAATATTATTATTTACATTGATCTTATAAAACTCTAGTATGTCGTTTTTTTTTTTTTCATTTTATAAATGATGGTTAATAATATGTTTTTTTCGTAGATCGATGTGAAAAACGATTGGTCAATGCGAGTACAGGACGGCGATGCAGACGACGACTTGGTTGTTATTGGCCTCGACAATCAATTGTCTCAAGAGGTTTGAAACTTCTTATCAAAAATATCATTTGCTGCCTCTGAGAGGCTAATAGGAAGTTTTTTGATCTTTGATCATTTCTTGTGCTATTGGAATTCGCATGTCCATATAACACTTTCTAGTGCTACAAGAAAAAAGATAATGAATAAGATAAATAATTCTAAAAGATACGCTACACGGGTGTTGCGTTTGCAGTGCGTTGAAGATGTGTCTGTTTTCCGACGGTGTTGCGTTCCAGGGAAGAGTGCTAAATCATGCGAAATTACGACAACATACCGTAGCCTATTTTGTTTTAACTTTAAATTTTATTTCTATTGATTTTATACATATTTATTGAATGATCGATGTGGAGTCTTGGCTTATTGAGTCTGACTCGGTTAGACTCAGGAAAATAAACAAGTAAAAATAAATTATGTATTGTTTTACAGATTGAAACGGAATCGAATGCGACCGAGATGATAATTCCTTAACCAATGGTGCTGAATTTGTAATAGATGGAATTTCTTTTATATAATATTTTTAGCTGTGGGCTTATCGATGTACTTGTTGCAATTCTTATTGCTATCTCTTTTATTCTATTTGAAATAACAGAGACAGCAATATATTAATACAAGTGAGACTGACGTAGAATTTCATGGTATACACCGACCAAGTTATCTGACCCGGTGGGAAATCAAACTAAATTATGACACCACACTGTCACTGAAAATTGTCACATCATCCTTGTCGTACTACAGCTGCCTTGTAATGGTTGTTATTTTTGTAATTATCTAGGCATTTGTAGGTTTTAACATATTTTCTGAAAGAACTGAACGCCATATCAGCGGCTCTCTCCGGCCCAGATTTGATTTATTTCTATAATTTTTTTTTCTATGTTATTGTTAATGAAATTCATTCGTTGATATATGAATTATAATAATGCCTAATGTGATTTATATATTAGATAAAATATATTTAAAAATGGTAAAATGCCTAATACGAATTTGTAATGTTTTTTTTTACAATAAATGTGAGTGGGCAGTATCGAAATTTAATTGGGACATATTTTTATCTCTATTATTTACTTTGAAAAAATAGAGACACGAATATTTTTCAATAATTTAATTTAGTTAGGATATAATATTGTATAATAGAATAAGATTAAATAATTGTATTAAAGGTGTCGGGTATGAAGGAAACCGATGTTAAGCTTTGTTTTGTTACATCGATGGAATTAAACAAATCATGTTTATAAATAGCTAGTAAACAAATTTTTAACTTATAACTCGCTTTTAATTCTATATTTTTTATTTATACTCCCGGGTCCCGCCCAACTAATACCTTTAAGTTTAGTTTTATGAATGCAAAAATACTTTTAAACCCTCTTTCCACTAGCACGACTATTCGCGTGATACACAGAGCTAATGCAAATATAAGTTAGGTATGGTCAAATTACAAATCACAAAGTTCCTAGAATTGATTATTTGACCAATTAATTTATTTCTACTAAGTTTATCATATATTTTGTATGATAATTAAAATAACAGACAATTTTAGCAATAAACAAATTTATTTAATATTTGGTCCATATGTTTTACATTACAAATAGATACAATCAATCATCTTTTTGGTATACAGCTGTATTTCTTTGTTATAATTTACAACTACTCACTACTGTAGGTCCTAACATTAATTGATCCATAATCACATTATTTTAGTTTTTGATATTTCTTATCCACTTACAAGAACTATCACAACTTGCAACTTACAACGCTAATTAAAACTAATAATTTAAACTTCACTTTCTTACAAAATAATCAATTAACAATCTTAATATGGAATATAATCAACGTCTTTAGAATATCTAGTATCACGTTTGTCCGTTTGTCCACTCGCCTTCCATGCGCCACACGGAGAAGGCGTAGCTAAGCTTGTCCTGAGCGAGGTATTTGCCGTGTTCACTGCCCGTCTCGCTCCCCTCGCTTGCCCCGCACTCGTTGCTAGATAGGATCTGGTACAGGAACTCGATGTACTGCGTCGCCAGCTGCAGCGTCTGGATCTTGGACAATTTATCGCTAGGCAGAGATGGAATGATTTGCCGTAAACTGGCAAACGCCTCGTTCAGACTCTGAGTCCTTTGCCGCTCTCTTACATTCGCCATTACCCGTTGTATTTGCATCTCCTCGAACGATTGCGTTTTCTTTCTAGACGCTTTCGAGGATCGCTTTCTCGATCTTCTCTGCTCGTCGTTGTCATCGCTCCGTTCCTCCGTCGACTCCCTGTACGATGTTTCCCCGATCTTCGCCGCTTCATTGTTTTCGTAGAATCCGTTCACTCTGTCCTGGGAATTGGAATCGTCAAAGTAGAACGTCCGAGGTAATTGTCTTTGTCTCTGATCGGTCATGTAGAGCTGGTCGTACGGCGGGTATTGCGGCTGCTGGTAGTCTCGGTCCTCGCTGTCGAATATGACATTGGTGGGCCAAGCCTGCTGCAGCACCGGTCTTTCAATTCCGTTGCTCAAATCCATTAGGTGTGTTGGTGAGGATGGCGCGAAAGCTTGTGGGTCGTGTCTTTTCACTTCGACGGGCACGTATCGATAATATTCGTCGTCATCCCGGCAGTCAGGATCCTCTTCGCGTTTGATGGGCACTATTCTATCACAGCCGTCGTAATTCATGTTTCGTGGTAGACTCGGCATGTGCGCGTGCGCGTGGCTGTCTCGGTCGCGTGTGGCTAAGGACTGAGCATGAGAGATCCTGGGCCGGCCCACCCCTACCCGTCCCTTCATTGACAACGCACAAAAAATAACCATCTCCACTGCGATGTGTACGTGCCTCCCGCCCAGCGCGCCGCCCCCCGCCCGCGCGTTTGCAATCCTTCGGGTGCGACAAGGACGGATGTAGTAAAGCCGCGTCGATCGTTGACCGGTTTGTGTTTATCTTGTCCATCATTTCCCATCCATATTTACTGCTTCTATATAGTATCGTAGGTATAATTATGTACGTTCGGACGCCATGGCCGATCGCATCGGTGAGCGCGCATCCTGCTCGCCAGACATCAATGTTATTGCACCGTAGCAAAAGTAATCGATCACTGTCGATCTACCATTAATATTTCATCTGTTTATATTTATTTTGGAACTATTCATTAGAGATGAACTTCACCTAAATACGAATATATATTTCGTATATTGTTAATTACAAATAGCGATATTAAATTATTGTATGATAAATTTTTATGACTTTCCAATACTGAAACTTGAGACACGTCGTGTAGGTAAGACATGAATCGGCGCCACCCTTGCTTGAAAATTTTTTGTACAGTCGCGTCGTCCTGTCGCCGCCATACTAAAAATATCTTTGACGCAATCGGACCACAAAGCTCGATCCCACGGCCGCACCGCGATGATGCCTTCACTTCTACTCATATTATAAATATTTTAATTATTTTATCTCTGCCGCTCACGGTTAGACACGGCCTGTACAATGTTACAGGATCTGACATTTTTACATCTCTGGTATTCGTCCTATAGGTTGGAATATAGTCATTTGTACAAATAGTGTAAGTAAACTAAATAGATATAATAAAGGTTTTTTTTACGAATCGCTTCCGGGGAGTGACCTTAAATTAAAAAATTAGGTACGTAAGGTTTCGCACTTCAAGCAAGAAGTTAAAGATTAAACGAAAATAAAACAATGCTCCGATTTCTTTCCTTAACCGACTAATAAAAGTTCTATCTAAAGCACATCAAGTTTTAAGAAAAGAAAAGTTTTGCAGAAAAGTTATTTCATAAAACCAACTTTCAATTTCAACGGCTGTCAATTTAAATCTATTTTTTAAAAATATTCCTAACGTTTAATGCTTCTTTTAAAAATACGTAACTGCCATATTAGATTTCTATGATCATTTAAAATTCAAAGTCGGGAATGAGCGCGTCAAGTTTGTTAATTAAAATTCGTGTATACGAACGCTATCTGCGTTGATTGCTCCTGTCACCTGTCAATACATACAAGATATCACTGTCTGTCTGTACGTAAAAGCTTCTGTCCAATGGCACCCGATACCGTCTGTATATTTCTAAAATACGATGTTATGATTTGAACGTAATTCAATCGTCGTAGCCGTTTTTATTTAGTTTTAAAGTTTTGTTTATTAGTATTGACCTCCACTAGCGATAGCTGAGTTAACGCATCAAAACTAGTGATCTACGCCGACTTCGCCCGTATAGCAATACATTTCTCTGTTGTATTGTAGCAGATTATTCGCGATTAGCAATTGCGCGCTACTTTATCCGCGTAAAATTTTAAAAAAAAACTAGTAATAAAAATATCCTCATTAATATGTCACCCAAGGATATAGTGAAAGGAGATGGTTCTGTAGTTTCGGAGCCTGTTCAATGGAAACAAACAAATAAACAATCAAATATTTCCTATATAATATTAGTGCAGACAGATAACCATCACGTCTTGAGCAATCATTCTCATATTTCACATTTTATCAAATCATTTTTACCTAATGTTTATCTATTTTGCGTATAATAAATTAAGTTTATGTAGACATATGTAGAGGTTATTAAGTTATATACTTGTTTGTTTGTTGCAATAATTCCGTAAAAGACCACCGTAATATAAGGATTTATTTGCAACAAAATACCATTGGTAATATAAGTTTACTGTAAAGGGGTGTGTTAAGTGTATTTTGGTTACATTCACCCACCGCGACATGAACGATGTTGCCGCGTTATTTATCGTTTCTCGTTCATTCCGAGCATATCCTTACGTCAGGTATCTTTAATATATTCCCTTGTTGTTTCACGCGGCTTTCTGATAGTTGTTTTAAAAATAAATTTTAGTGTGTAATGCATTTTGTTCTACGGTTTAAAGTATCCACAATTATTTAATTGCGTGTGTTTTACTGTCTAGGTTCGAAACAAGCGAGGATAATTCGTAATTTTTAGTCGCTATTATAAATTAAGTTTAGATCTTCTATAGTTCTAAAAAATTAATTGGCAGAACTTAAACATATAACTAGAATATTTAGTAAATTTTGTATAAAATCTGCGCACCTAAAATAACATTGGAAATTCTCGAAAATGGAACAGACGCGATAGATTTAAATGGCTTAAAGTACCCAGGGCCGGATCCGAAATGAGTCATGTCCCGACATCTGCGAAGCGATGCGATATTGGCGGTTTGAATTCATTCACAAACAAAATGTGCTCTTACCGTTATCTCTTCTTTCTCATCTCGTTAATGACGCCGATGCTGATAACACGAACACCCTGTCTACAAGTACCTTTATGAATGAACCACATACACAGTGCAATAAAAAAATGGTTACATCAAACGCACCGCCTTTGATTCGTTCGCAGTCATTTTCAGATTAAAACTAACATAGTAAGTAATACGTTTCCTGCGTCTTCATACAAATTGGCGTCATTGATCTTTTTCGCTCCTGATGATATAAGTTTCTAATTAAAAACGCAAAAAATATTGAAGCTAGAAATAAGCAAAAAGTACTTTTTAAAGCTTACGGATATAAGGGTATACAACCAACTCAAAGCCTAGGTTTTTATTCTTAATTTTATTAAGTTAAAGCGATTTTTTTATTAAAGCTTTTTGGAACTCTATTAATCTGTCATAAGCTTGTGCAACAAGGTCTTAATATAGGATTTATTAATTCACGGTACATGTATAATAATTCTATTGTTACATGGAATCATCAATGAGCAATAATCTCGACTAATGTGAGCTTAAAACAAAGTATTCATCCCCTTGTTGGTGGCGTGTACAGATGTTTTAGCCGTGAGAGATTAACGCCTCGCTAAGTTTATTTTGTTAAGAGTTTTACGACGCTGTGGTTTATTTTCAAACTTTCAGTGTTTGCGGTTGTAAGTGACACCTGCTTTAGATAACGCTCGTACTTGTTAGTGCATAAGTTTTATGTATAAACGATATTGTTGACATCCTTTTGCGGTTTGTAGGTTGTTTATTTATTTAAATTATTTGGTTTTCATGCTTCTCATTGTAAATATGATATACATTTAACTTAATCATGTTTATAATAAATGTATTTTTTGCAAATTTACAAACGAATTCACTAATTTCAATTCATTGAGACGTAAAACTCACTCCATTTGTGACGTTTCTACACAGCTTTTTTTTATATATATAACTTTATTGTGATCTGTTGTAACTAATGGGGGAACGAAATGTGTATTTTAATTTATTTTTAAAGGCTATGGTTCTAGAATAGTCTTTGGTCAAACCTTTCCTCAAACAATACTGAGGCACTTTCCCACGCCGACAGACGCCGCATCTGCGCGCAACATGCCAAAATTAGTTAGTGGACGCCGCCCGATGACCATTGTTTCTCCTGGATAATAAAAAGCAGGGATTAGGTTCTAAACGGCAATATCGTAATAAATAATAAAACGTCTTGGAAATGTTCAGTGCCATAAAACATCTGCGAGGTCTCCGCAGCTGCGCTCAGAGGAAAATACGTCACACTTGTGCCGCATCCATAGTCCAGTCTTCCTAAATACCTGTTTACTTGATAACGCCTATTGTTCTTTTAACGAGTAATTCGCTAATGCTATTATCGTTATGCCAAACACCTGTGGTGAACTGTAACAGATGGCCTTTCGAAGCTCGTTACAACTTGTTTTCTAATACGATTTCAACAGAAATATGCTTTTGTGTTATTTTTTTTAATACCTCTTGTTACTGCTAGTTAAAAAATATGGTGTATGTTGTGTTGTTTGGTTTTTTAAGTTTCTTTAACGAAATGATTTTAAATCTTATTAAAATAAATTCGTTGCATTATCTATTATTTTGAATTACTGTAAATATATTATATCTCTATAATATCTTATTTACAGAAAAAACTGTCTTTTTCAATAACAGCGTAATTTAATTTTTTTATACTTGAACAGCTACGTTGGTGTATGAATATTTTATAGGTTTTTTCAGAACTTTAAAGTTTCTCGATAAAATAGCTAACTTGAATGCAAAAAAATTATAAAGCATGTTAAAACTAAACTTAATTATGTTACCTTTAGACATTCGATTTTTACGTTAAGTACGATTTTTTTGAATTATCTCCATATAAAATAAAAGTAAACGTAATGATAGAAGGACTGGACTATAGATACTGTTTTCAGGGTACACCTCCGGCGAGGCGCGCACAGATGCGACGCATGTGTGGCGCTCAGCACGGTGATGCCGACGACAAACCGGCAACCATAGTTTATAGAGAAAAATGGATAATCGCGACAAACAGAATTAATTTATTTAATTTTTAAAATGAATGATCTTTATCCTACTAATAGACTACGGGCACTACTACTTGTTTTTGTTATACATTTTATAACAAAGCTCAACTTCTAGGCGATGATAGGCCACTTTCATTCTACTTATAAAAAAAACAGAATTTTGTCAATTTATTTTTCAATCAAAAACTTAGATAAAATATGTGTATTAGGCTTAAAAAATAGAGTAAGAAATGGTCTTCGTTAGGACTTGCCTAATTAGATATTTATAGTTTGTCACCGTAGCGTCACCCTGTATTGTCCGGCGTTCACACGAATTGTTTTGTTTCAGCAGATGCCCGATGCACTGCAAGACATTCCTGCCTACTAGGAACGATGCCAACTAATTACACTCTCTGAATTAACCTCACTAAATATATAGTATTCTTATTTAGTCACGCTAATAATTTTAATTGGAAACTAAATAAACCTGTATAAATATACCCAATGTCTATGTCAATACTACTTTACTTCAATGTTAAGATGACTATTAGATAACATTTTTTTTAAATCTACATCTGTGTTGTCGTTCAAACATTATCTAGATACAAAGGTACAAAAGTTACAATAGTATTGACGTTTTTGAGAGTGCGGGAGATACTTTTTAAATATGAACAAGAATTAACAACACACAAGAGCCAGTCAACGGAAAATTCGATGCACATTTAACAAAGCCGCGTAAAATTATATTCTAATGTAGCCTAACGATATACGGACTATGACAAAAGTGCAAAGGATACATGAAATCATGTACGAGTAATCGTATCCGTAGAACATACATGCGTATTACGTACAAAGATGAAAGCTCTGTAATATGTCGACGGAAATATCTATTTTCCATGGCTAAATACATCCGTGACCAAAATATCACTTAAATGTAGTTATATTATTACGTATTTTACTTCAATAAACGGCAAATTGCAATTTACTGCATACAATGAGAACATACTTATAAGATATTAGACAAGTAATCTGAAGTGTTTATCTGTTTGAAATTTGTTTTCCATTGCGCGTGTCCTACGCTACAGCTAACGTTGTTGGATTTTAATGAGGACAGTATTACATTTTTATTTAAGAAGTCTTTACAAATTATATTACAGTTTAATATAAAAAGAGCTTTTATTAAATACTAGCTCCGTCCGCGCGGTATTAAAAAAAAACTATTAGTAGTCCATGTGTTCTTCCTAGTCTAGTTCTACATGTTTGCCAAATTTCATCGAGACCCGTTCAGCCATTCTGGAGATACATTCAAAGAAACATCCATCCAACCAACCAAACATTCGCATTTATAATGTTAGTATGATACATGAAAAATTTATTCCACTATTACTGCTACTGTAAATACCGAGATTAGCACATTGCCAATAAAAATATCAGTCCCATCGCGAATTGTAATATGATCCCACAAAGGCAAGTGTTATATGCCAGTAAGCTTTGCATAAAACCTCTTTCCAAACAGACGCGTGACGTCACGAGGGACTACGGACCAGACGCAGTGCCGAGGATTTCATTATATCGCGCCATATTTCAAAGGCCAACCGTGACACTAACCAAACCCCGATGCCCAATGACACAATATGAGATCATCGTTCAATTTCTGTATATTTTAACTGATTCAACATAGCTTTAATGATACCGACAAACATATTATCTAGTGAGTAAATTATTGTTGCTATTTTTCAAATGTTTATACAGAACAAAATTATATAAACGGAGAAAGTTGTATAGGAATTATTGCTTAATTAATCGATAGTTAGATAGTAAAGTGAATTGGTTACAACCCTATATAGACATGCATAGGTGACCAGATAGACAAAGAATGGAATTATAACGTAGGTACTTGCACGCGACGGACACATTAGGACGGTTTTCGGTATAAATATGGTGGGATTATGTAAAAAATTTTCTTTTTCGTGTCTGATTAACATGATGATTAAGTAATATCTTTACTCTGTTACATTGTTTTGAAATAAAAGCTTCACAGAGTGTTCAAACTTGGAAATTGGAAAGAATGCCAACCCATTATGAGGGAGTCAATAAAATCGTGAAACACTGGAATATCTTCCATATAGTTATTCCAATGTTTCACTGTGCCATTTATACCTTAGTACAATAACATTTTATTAATTTCATGGATTATTTTAACGCGAAATTTGAACGGAAGCCGCCACTAAATATATCAACACCAAAGGCGCTCGCTTTCAAAGCAAATATACTTATATCGGCAATTATATGAAAATACAAATAAGCCGATGAAAGAATTAAAGTTAATAAGAAGTAAATTTCGCACCGAATTTAATAATGCATATTCAGAGAACGAGTTAATACGAAATATGTGACAATGTATAATGGGGCCATTAAACCAAAATATCCTTGTCTGTATAACTTCAAGAACATTTTATGTTATCATTGAAACTCGTAGTGTCATGAATGCTTATCATGGTCTGTTAGATCCTAGCATCATATAATTATTATAGACCTAACTGATGGAGCAAACAGTTAAATATTCCAAGGAAAACAGTATAGTACCTATTTACGTTTACTCGTGACAGACTGTTTATCTTTAGCCGCTTTTACGATCCAGCGATGAATTATTAACCGTCGCCGCAGTGACAGACTGTCTCCGGCACTGAAATATAATAAAGGAATATTCGGTTATGCTATTTGTTAACTTTAATTGCTTTAAAATGTATTGTTAATTAACAGTCGATTTCAAAAAGAAAGATTGGGCTTGCTGATGACGATAGTAATGATTGTGCGATTTTCGTATACCATATCTTTCTGGAGTAGATTTTTGGAAAAATAAAAAATAAATAATATTATAAATATTTTACATACTTATTTTATCAGTAAACTGGGCACAAATTTATTCTCTAGTACGTTATTCGCATTTTATTAAGGTATACTATTTTTTTAAACCTACGTACACGACAAAAGACAATTATGCCAAGCAAAGCGTGGTGTTTTTTAATACTGTAATTATTCATGTTTTTTGTCCTTCAATTTTTTGTTTTGAGATTGTTGCTGAGATTCAAATATAAAGACTGAAACTGTAAATAAAACTTATGAGGATTATAGCACGGAAATGGTTTACGAATCGTTTAGTTTTTCCAAATATTTTTTTTCATACTCTGTGATGCGCACGAGTGGCGAAGTGGCGAACGGCGAGTGAAGGAATTGTCAACGTCAAATCTTCGCGCTTATCAATCTGTTGTGATATTAGGTTAAGCTTAAGAATATTTTATAAATTCAGTATTTTCTAAATTATGAAGCTATATTAATTAATGAAAATGGAGAAAGGGGAAACTTTTTTATCGTGTGCAGTAACGGCAGAATGGACTACACCAGAAGGTTCAATTATTAGAAAAGTAAACCATAAGACTGCTTCTTTACGACTGATTCGGAACGAATTTCGTGAGATGTTTATGGAGATTACTACAGATAAACATGCCGCAATTCGACTAGGTTTGAAAAGTATCAATGTTTTTAAAAAGTTCATGGCGGAAGGAAAAGCTAGCATTAAGTTCCAAGAGGTTGGTTGTACATTGTTTCTTTCTAATGCACCTCCAACGAACCTCGTTTCATTTCTTCGAACGATGTTCATCAAGATGACTGGTGATAAGGATAATCATTCAACTACTACTAAACAATCTATGAGAGCAAAATTACTAAGTGGTAAAGCCCAAGCTTTTGAAGAGATTAGTCCAGTAACAGTGGCTGATATGCGTAACGCTAAAAATAAGATCAGTAAGGCCACTGTCACAACTCCATCTCCTCCAAGAAAGCGAAAAGCCCAGGAAGAAAGTAGAGGTCCCGAACCTAAGAAATTATATTCACCTTCACCTTTGAGTTGTCAGGGTACTTTGAATAGTGAGCAACAGAGAGTCTTAGAAGCTTGTCTCAGTGGTAAAAACATATTCTTCACTGGATCAGCTGGCACTGGCAAAAGTTACCTGTTAAAGAGAATTGTAACCGCCTTGCCACCTGATGTAACAGTGGCCACTGCTTCTACAGGTGTTGCAGCGTGTCATATAGGTAAGATTTTTATTCTCCCTGTTTTTTTTTTTCACATAATTATACTCCATGAAACCGAACTATAGAATACTCTTTTCCAACAAAAAAAAACAAATATTTACTTTTAAATTTGCAATATTTTTAAAAAATTTTTTGCATACAGGTGGTACAACACTTCATGCATTTTCTGGTATAGGTGATGGCAATGGGTCTGTAGATAATCTTTGTCAGAAAGCAACCAAACTGCCGCTGGTTGCTCAAAAATGGAGAAAGTGCAAGCATCTCATTATTGATGAAATCTCAATGGTTGATGGGGCATTCTTTGAGGTATATTGCATACTGCATAATTTTATTGGTATTGCTTTTTAAATTTATAAATAAATCATAATTTATTAAAAACATTGTTACACTTTTCAGAAACTTGAAGCAGTGGCCAGGTATGTAAGGAAAAATGATAAGCCATTTGGAGGCATACAATTAATACTATGTGGTGATTTCTTACAACTACCCCCAGTTGTTGACAAGAGCCAAAATGCAAAGAAGTTTTGTTTTCAATCCCCATGCTGGGATAAATGTATTGAACTTTGTTTTGAATTAAAAGAAATACATAGACAGACTGATCAAGAATTTATAACTATATTAAATAGCATAAGGATAGGCCGCGTTACTAAGGAAACAAGTGATCGTTTGCTAGGCACAGCTAAACAAAAAATTGAAAGTGATGGAATATTAGCAACAAGACTGTGTTCACATACAAATGACTCTAAAATGATAAATAATTCAAAATTAAGGGACCTCAGTGGAGAGGAGAAAGTATTTGCTTCACAAGACAGTGATAACGCAACAAATATGTTGGATAATCAAACTATTGCCCCTTCAAAGTTAGTGCTTAAAATAGGAGCACAAGTGATGCTTTTGAAGAATATCAATGTTAATGCAGGATTAGTTAATGGAGCCAGAGGTGTTGTGGTCAGATTTGATGAAGGATTGCCTGTTGTGAGATTTAAAAACAAAAAGGAATATACTGCAAGAGCAGAAAGATGGTATGTGAAGAACTCAAGTGGGACATTGCTGTGTAGGAAACAAATTCCATTGAATTTAGCCTGGGCTTTTTCTATTCACAAATCACAAGGTTTAACATTAGATTGTGTAGAGATGTCTCTATCCAAGATATTTGAAGCTGGCCAAGCTTATGTAGCGTTGAGTAGAGCACAAAGTCTAAATACATTGCGAGTGCTAGACTTTGATTCTAGACATGTATGGGCAGACCCAAATGTCCTAGAGTTTTACCAAAGATTCAGGAGACGCCTACAGCACATGGAAATAATACCCTTAGGCAGACCATTGTCTGATAAGACAAATAAAAAATTAAAACTAAGAGAAATTTTACAAAAGCAAATGACTAGAAAATAAACCATAGTTTTAGGCCATTTTTAGCTATAATAAAACACTTGATAATTTAATTATGATAAATTATCGGTTTTGATTAATTTATAAAATTAAACTCCTTAGAAAATGTAGACACAAACATTTATTTTTCTTTTTAAGCATGGAGAGGTTTAAATGAAATCATGAAGCTCATATCTGAGATTCAACATATCTATTGTAAGATTTAGAAAATATAGGATGTCTTATCACGAAAAAAAATTTGTATTACAGACAAATCTCATACATTTAAGACTGATTATAAATTGTAGTTTTAAATTAATTAATAGAATAAATGCATTTATGCAATCAATAAAAAACAAGTAATAATTTATTAAATTCTAAGATAATACAATACAGTCTTTTCTTTTACCTTGACTCAACAGTGGTTAGTATATCTATCTGTTCCTCAAGAGTAGCTAATTTCTCTTGTAAGCATTTAATTATATATTTGTAAGTTTCAACACTTTGTTCTGTTTCCTTTTTAGATGATCTAGCCTCTTCCAAGTTTTTCTGTAGTAATTCTACATGTTTTTTATTTTGAACAACTAGTTCCATCAGTCTTGTATTTAAATGATCTTGTTTTTTTACTAATATCCAAAGCTGAGCTTCAGTTGGTGTGTCAGTCTTGCTTTTGTAGTCATCATTCATATAGGTTTCTAAATTTGAAGGTTCTTTCATTTTGCTTAATATATTCTTAATATCAGACATTAACTCCGCTTGGGTCAATTTATTTAGGACTCTGTCTACATTAGTTCTTGATGATGTGGCTCTCTCTTGAGTTTGCTGAAAGAAATAATGTTCACCATATTTAAATTTAACAGCCCACTCTGTTAACTTACTACTTATGGGATGATCTATGATTGTCTCTAGGATCTACTGATTATTATTAAAACTTACTTTAAAAGGATGTTTGTGTGCAGCTGAAGAAAATAAAGTAGGTACAGCATCATCTTTCAATTTTCCTTTGATATTGAAATATTTTGTTTCAAAGTGTTTAGAACATATTCTACTTCTGTTCCAATCCAGAACAGTACATTTAGTTTTCAACATCTGCAACCATTTGTTTCTCATGTCACTTCTGATTGGACAACTGTAAATAAATATTTACTCTTTACATTTAACGTAAATATAAACGAATTATTTAATTTAGAGATGGTAGATTATAAACTAAACATACGAATGAAAAGTCACTCCTCGCGGTTTATTAAAAATATTATAATTACAGTCGCGTACAGCACAATCAGTGTGGGACATTTTGCTTACTCTTTTCTTATAAATACGTCTTAATTCTATTTATTTTAGCCAAATTAATTAAAGGCAAATTCGGCAATTTTTTTCAAACTAACGAAACGCCACTGTCACTGACATTAAAATGACGTTTGAATGTAGGGTTGCAATTGCAACTAAAATTGAGTGCAATTATTCGATTGTAACTCGATTTGCGTCTGTTATAAAAATTCAAAACTATTAAATTGGGCAATTTTATATCATAGTTCTTTTCAAATATGGGGCGCCAGCTTAGAGCTGCCAAGATACTTAAAAACATTGTGTGCTATTTTAAAAATAATATTTAATGTAAATTAAAACGAAGTTATGTAATTTCCTTTATTAATATGTATTTAATAAAAATTTGATAATAATATACACGTAAATATTGACATAAATATTTTTACATTGAATAAATATCTTTAATCAGTAACGCTTATAGCTACAGGCGGGATGAATCTCCAAACATGGTTGACTTCACCGGAGCACGGTTGGATTATTGAAGCGTTGTCCACCTCTTTAGCAACTGGTTCTTCTAATATTGGTTCTGTGGTCGAGCATTGTATGTCTATTTTATATTCGCCCGGAGTTAAAAAGACGACGGTGCACTCGTGGAAAGCTTTGGAAGTTTCCGTTAATGTTGAAAGAACCACCCTAAAAACGTAAAGAGAAATTGCTTTTTATTATAATTTAAACATAAAAAAGGACAAGTGACTCTGAAGAAAAGTATAATATCTTACTTGTTATTGCCAGCAGTTGCGACACGGTTATCCAATTTGTAGCTGAGCACGCCATTGTTGTAATCCTGGTAGAACTGTACAGAGAGGCAGAGTTTGTGCAGCGGCCGGCTCAACAGATTCTGCACGGATACGCCCAACGCGAGACATTCGCCCGCCGTGCAGTTCAGCTCCTCTTGAGGCTTTATGCATTGCTTGTTCACGCTCACCTCTACAATTAAAATATTACGTGAATGTTTTGAAACTATAGTGAGAATAATGCAAGCAACATTTAGCATATCAACATTTTAAATATTTTCGCGATACATTTGAGTAAACTTATTGATTAAGTCAACAAAAACCATAGATTTTGACTAAATGCAATTTTGCCGATACTACCGTATTGAAATGTGTATTAAAAAGATTTCTTGACTATTATACCCCAATTCAAAGGCGACATCCTGACGATATCCATCATGGCGTGTGAGAGCGTGATGCCACGTACGGAGGCGGCGCCGCGCAGCCCCGACTGCAGCAGCTGCCAGCGCAGCGATATATTGCTAGTTATGTGTTCCGAGCACATCAGCTCCAGGCTCAGTGAACCACTGGATGTCGAGGTTGATTTAGATTCTGCCGTATCTGTCAATAGTTTACTCTATGATCATATAAGTATTTACTCTATGTCACTCGTGGCCATAGAGTAAGCTTTAAGGATTTTATATTATGTGTCAAATGTCAAGGCATATGGAAGCAAAGGATGAAAAAAGCCATATTATATACTCTTCGTATAGTATTTAAATAATATCTTCACTATTCTTAAAAATGTTAATAAAATACCTTCATCATTATATTTATTGGGCGTCACATTGAAGGGGCAGCGGTCCAGCGGTACAGGCACTCTCCTTGACTCCTTGCTTTCGATCAGGATGTGCTTGTCGCTTGTGTAGTGGAAGGCCATCTCCTCTGTCGTTAGATTTGTTACATCCAACACTAGATAAAGTTGTGTCGGACTGAAATAAAATATTATTATTAATTTAATAAATATTGTGGGTTCAAGTGTTATGCCCTTAGGGAAAACAATCATTAAAAAACCCTATAGCGGCCAAACTGGAGAACTTATTAAATGGTTTATTTATTATTTTATACGTAATATATCATTAAATCATCATGTTTACGTCCGAATTCATTGCCATCCCTTTAAAGCCAATCCAATTATTAGACTTTTCATATTTGTCAAAATATTTAATAGTATTCAGAATTGCGTGATTCTTTTGTTCATATTTGAAATCTAACTAATATTACAAATGCGAAAGTTTAGATAGATGGATATTTCTTCGAAGGATCTCTAGAACGGCTACAAGGATTTCGTTGAAATTTGACATAAATGTAGAACATAGTCAGGACGAACACATAGGCTATTAAATTAGGAACATGTACTTACATCTCTGCAGGCAACACATCCCAGTGTGTGATAGAGACGCTGGGCAGCAGCTCCAAGTTGAACTGCAGCGTGGACTGACGGCAGTGGGACTCCTTGCCTGCACCACCAGAGTACCTTATTATCATCTGCAAAATAATGCATTTACTTATAAATTACAAACTTTTTATATATCATTATCAACCTGCCCTTATCCCAATCGAGGGTCGGCACAGTATGTACTACTCCTCCATACATCCTCTCCTCTTTTTTATATCTTATCAATATTATAAAAGCAAAAGTTTAGATGGGTATATGGATGTTTGTTAGAATTTATCGCCAGAAGAAATCTTGCTGAAATTTTGTATAAATATAGTTCTATTATACATTGTCTGGAAAAACTCATAGGTTAATTTTATTTCTAAATTCCGCGAATAAAGGTTACAATGTTTACTGGAACAGCGAAGAGTTAATCATTGTTGTTTTAATATAATTTTAAAAGCAAACTGACCTGCGCTTCAACTTGTCGGCCTCTAGACGGCGGCATCACCGACAGCGGCGCGGACCAACTCGTCGTTTGAGAATTTGAAGATCTAAAACATAGTAAAAACTAATAATTTTTTTTAACCTATTTAAAATTTGTTTACAATTAGATGACATAACCTGCTAATAAAGTTTTTTTTTGCGGACGACAGCTAGTTAATTAATAAATGTTTTATTTACTATCAAAAACCATACCTAAAACTGCCAGAAGTCCGATTAACCATTAATCCACTGCTTAGCGACGTATGTGGGTTGGAACTCTGAGTCGGCAGTGATAGTTGAGCATTAGGTACTGGAGATCCGACTCTTGAAGGGTAGTTAGAGGTCAGACTGTTGGGGAAGAGATTCTCTCCAACACCTCCAAGGTCCAAGAAATCAGCTTCAGCGTATAACTTCAGTTTGATTGTGGCCACTTCATTTGGTAGTATGGGCAGCTGGGATTGTACATCATCGTTGGACCATTGGAATACTTTTGATTGCAGTTGATTGTCCATATTTGACTGTAAATGTTTTATGAATTCAAAATAATTAAGAGTACAATAGCACACAAGGGTTTATATATATATATTTTTTTAGTAAAAATATTAGCAGATTTTTTTTGTAAAATTACTAATATTTATTTTACCATTCCAACTAAGCTCTAGGCTTGTGCTAGGATATGGTTTACGACAATAGTCGAATGGCGGGATTCGAATCCCCGACCTCGTGATCGGAAATCCGTATCCTTAACCATTAGGCTATTGACGCTTAAATTATAAAAGTGTTTTCAAAATACAAAGAATAAAAATCTTTTAATACTTATTTTTCATAACTTTGAAGGTATAGTACACAGTAACAATAAAATTGTTAGAAAAGAAGTCCTATGCTTTAAAATGAGAAACAAAATAACATAATTAAGATTTTTGTTCCGTTCATTGAAGGAAAAAACGTAGGTTCTCAAAGTCTGTCGATAGATGGCACTTACTATGAAAATATTACCACAGATAATTAAAATTGTAGTGTTGCCAATTAAAAAAATGTGGTGTAAAAAAAAATATCCAATTTCACACAAACGTTTGGAGAATCTAATTATTTATTTACAAACAAAAAAAAAGTAATCAAACCTGTATCGCCAGATCCAAATATTCTATAGGCACAGCACTGGTATTGGTTATTTTGATTGCACATTCAGTACTTTCACCATTGTAGAGAGACACATTTGTCACATTGCTGTGACTTTCACCGGACACATTCAAGTGTCCGGACAACGATAGACATGTTTCTATCAACATTGTCGGCAAACTCGGTATCACTTCGATAACGTATGATGTCGGAAATTTATTACTCAATGGTAAATTTTTCAATCTACAATTAGATTTAACTCCCAATGTATGAGTAGAGTAACCTAATATTTGTAATTCCCCGACTTCTTTTGGTGTTCCGTGTAAATTGACTGTGGTTGGTGAGTCTGGTGGTAATATTATTGTCTCTGGTAATGATTCGAACACAACACCCGATGTTAGAAGAAGCATATTGGATACTTTCAGTTCGAATGGTAACGGATTGGTTAGTTTCATTTGTACTTCACATATATCGTCTTCTACCCATAGATATTCTGAAAATAGAAAGTTTTTTTAAGATTGAAATAAAGTTAATAGTCATTGTCATCAATTAAAAAGATACTGTTAAGTTAAGGCCGCCGAACATTGACGGCTTCAAGTAATCGTTATAAACAGTTTAAGTGGTCTTAAAGTACCAGTTGAAATTTAAAAAAAATCATAGTCTTTTATCCTAGATTTTGTAAGAAAATTATTAGTTTTAATTTATTTTTCTCTTACATTCTTCGATTAAAAACATTCTTATTGTTGAATAACTTTCATTACTCTATTGGCTTTTAAAAAAAAGAAAAACTTTTTCATAATACTCACCCATTTTCCCTTCTTCCTTTTTAGATTTCCTCTCGAGACTGCCGAAATGTATTGGTGTAAATATAAAAGGTCCTTGTTGTACTTTGCACTTAACTGAATGCGGGGTTCTAGTCAGTGGTAGAGGTTTGGGTGTGAAACTGAGGCACTGCGGCACGTGGGTCAAGTTAGCTGGTGGTATCACCTCACCTGTTTCCAGAACCAGCGGTACTGGACCTCCCTCACATTGTGCTGATACCGCCTACAACAATCATATATATATAAAAAATACGCAATAATACTCTTACATAAAAAAAAAACATATTATAGATGCAAAATAAAGCGTTAAAGCGGTTTTCTGTTCAAAAAAATGTACTTTCTTCATAATTTCTTTTTAATCAAAATTTGTTAGAGTATTTAAAATGATCACGCTGTTTTCCTCAAGGAATGCCTTTTTATGTTAAATGTTCAATTATGGTTTTCTGGGTTACAGACCTCGGGCTTTCACTGCCGAAGCTCGTGTTATTTTGGTACAGTTTTTTCAAAGAAAATGGTGTACGTATTTAGCTGGTGGAAACTCACCTGTAGCTGTATGGCAAGGTCGCGGTGCTCCTGGCGGGAGAGATGCGGCCACATGGCCTGCAGCAGGAAGGTCATGTGGCGCGTGGCGAGTGCAGGGTGACCCATGCGTCGCGACGCCACCACCACTTCCTGCAGCAACTGGATTTGCAGCGCCGGCCATCCTGACATCAAGTTTTAAGATTGTTAAAAAACGTTTTCAAATAAACATTCTTCATCAACAAAATATGCATAGCCTATCGACAGTAGATGGCGCCACTTAAAATGTATACTCCAAGTGGCGCCATCTATTTTACGTTTGACTTGACGTTTGATAATGACTCTTGACGCTGGCGCCATCTTACTGCTATCAGTTTTATCTCCATTGCAATATATGTTGCAACTTACCTATCTGATGCTGCACGACCTGTCCGGGGTCTAGGCTGAGCATGTGTCCGGGGAAGCTGTGCAGCATGAGATAGTAGCAGCGCTGCCAGTCGGGGTTGGGGTTGTTGGCGCTCACCTGACGCGTCGCTGCCAGTCGCTGGTAGAATGCAGCTTTGCGTAAGAAACCTGAAGATGATATTGATTTGTATTCAACCCAAATAAACACATTACAAACACATTCAAGGGTAAACAACTACATACTTGGAAATTAAATCTATGCAATATTTAACATAACTTACCTATTTCCTTGTAAATTTCAGCAAGAGTGTCAAATCTTTGTATCTTCTCTTGTTCACTGAGCGTTAAATTAATAAATATGACATTCTGTAGAAAACTGGATGTTAACAAACTGTTGTTCTGTTCCACCGCTATCCTTGCCGCTTTGAAGCACGCCTCAGTTTCAATAATACCCGCATTTTGGTATTTACTATAGTGTATTATAGCTTTCCGATACTTTTCTGCAATATCTTCTCCGTTTAAAAGGTATTGATTATTAACTTGTCTAGGTATTGATGGTATATCCATTGTTATGTAAGACTTCTGACTTTGGTATTCAATATCACTGGAGGAAGCTAAAGATTCTGTATCCGCATTATCAGTTTCAGATTGCCTCGAAGAAGTTTCAACGCTATCAGAGGAAGACGGAGTCAGTTCACTGGGTGGGTTTATCGGACTGGATGTTTTCGATGATCTTAACGGAGAAGAAGTAAGCTTGTATTTCCTGAATGAATCAATGCCCGGTTGGAATAATGATAATGGCTTCGTTTTGTTAGGTGAACTCTCTTGAAGGCTTGCGTTCCGGTGTAAAGGCATTGTGGTACGTAGGTTTGGGTAAATTAGGATAGCCGAGGCAGCGCAGTGACCTAAAAAGAACGAAATTATTATTTTCATATGGATAATATTTAAACAAACAAATATATGAGGAAGACTATCTATATCTATGAAGGGCAATTTTCTAATCAAATTCATTTATATGCAAAATTTTTCTTTTGCTTTTCAGTGTAAATTGATATCATTAGTTAGCTACGTCTTCACACATTTATGGGCTTACCTTCTTTTGCAGCAGCCAACCATAACCAATCATTAACAGCCTTTAATATTTCCGCTGCCGAATGATATAAAGCTAAACTTTCTGCTACCAATCCAGATTGCAATGTTAGATCAGCTAAGTTTTTGGTGACCCTACCCATACAACGCTTCTTGTTGTTACGTGAATCCATATCCAGACCTAAAATAATAAATAAAACAATACATAATTATATGCAAAAAAAGATACAAAGGCTACCCAATTTTAACAAACAAGATAACTAAGATTATTAACTGAAAAGATATTTACCTATAAAATCCCTTTTCTCAAAAGGTGCCAAAAGTAGCGACACCTTGTCAAGTTTCTCACGAGATCTCTCCAATCTTTTTGATTCTACTACCCAAAAAAGTGAGTTAATAAGGTCTGCTACATTTTGTTCCAAATCAGACACTGGTTCATTCTCTCCGTAGAACATTGCATGGGTTTTAAAATTAGATGGTATTGTAAAATTTTCTTCTTGTACCACATAAGAAGCACTAGAGGATGTTGATTGAGCACAACTATCATTTGAAGACAGACTATCCCCTGGCTCACTTGTTTGCCTGGAATTATATAAAAGTCTAATGTAGCATACGAGAGGATACATATACAAGAGAGGAAGGGGACATATCCTGTTTCTGTGCATCCCTTCCTCTGTTGATTAAAGGTAGGTAAAGCATTCGCAATTGCAGATGTCACTTTGCTCCTTCTGTAAACTCAAGTGGCTGATAGGTTATTTGCCATTGCCACCTTATCATATATAAAACAAAATTTGTTTATTCAAAGAGAATGACAGTGACAACAATTTGTTTTTGACAAGACTTTAGGCAGTGGAAACTAACTACTGAAAGAGATGTACTATATCTTACTTGTAATTTAAGCTGCTTTTATCTTCTATCTGTTTTTCTTCATAAACACTATATGTCTCCGGTTCTTGTTCTGGTTTCTTCAAATTACTACCAGGTCCAAACATAAAAGCCCGAGAGTCATATAGCGTGTTAGAATACTTAACTTTGAGAGACTCATGGACCCTGCATACTTCATTCAACTCTATTTGGTTTGTAAACTTACTTAAAGTTATCAAACCCAGCAAACGTCTGTAAAAAATATTTGAATAGATTAACAATTATTTACATTATTTGATATAAATATAATACTTTAAACTGTAGAAATTAGAACATTTGAAGTGATTACAATGTGATTTATAGCAAGTCTATTAACTATTATTTCTATCTTTAGAAAAAAACCTTTATCTAATAATAAAGTAAAAAATTAACTGTAAAATTAATACTTTATTAGGAGATACCTATGAGTCTGAAAATCACCCCAATCATTGTTTTCCACTGGGTAATCACGGACATATCTGACCCAAATATCTCTCACTTGTCCAGTGGAATCTAAAAAGTAAATAAAAATATACAATTAAAAAGATTACTGGTACTACTCTTACTTCATTATCAGAATAATACATATAAAATATGTTAAAAACAGATTAGAATAATGTACTATATATGTATGACTAATTCGTGAATTTTTTTCAACCTACCTGTAACCTTAATGTTATTAACCCGCTGTATTCGCTCCCATAACTTATTAAAATTCTTGAGGACGCCCCCAATACCTTTGACCAACACCAAAAGGCAGGCGTGGTGTTGGGCATGTTGCGCGTAGTCAGGATGCGACATTACTGACTCTCCGGGCGCGTGAGATAATATATAGCTCAAGGATGAGCGCATTGATATCTCATTAGATCAATTTGAAAATAAAATATTTTATCTATTCACTTTCTTTTCAATTTCACCACTTACTAATTTCAACATTGAGTAGGATATATATTTCATAAGACATTCAGCAAGAAAACTTAATGATAAGCATCTAATAGTTTAATTATTACTTAAGAGAGTTTTGTTATTATGAGATTGAAATCAAATTCCAATTTGCAACATAAGATTCACAAATTGATGTTATATTGATTGTTGTTGTTGATTTTTTGACTTTTAAAGTAGTGACGTTTTCACGCCGCAGAGTACAACATTTTTGAAAACCTATATTTTGAGAACGGTAGTTAAAATGCCTTTATTATACCTTTGTTTAAATAAATATCTCCAAAAATGTTGTTAGACGTTAAGAAAATATTATAAGAATCCAAAAAAGTGAAGTGAAGTTGTGGAAAAGCTAATCGGTGTTTAGAAAGGCAAATGTCATAGACAGTATTTATTGAAAATTGAATGAACGTCAAACAAGTAAAAATAACCTAAAAACAAACATCTTTGGAAAGTCGAGTTAACTATTGTAAATAAATAAATCGTCCAAAAAGACGAAGAAAATTGGATCAATTTTAAATTTTTTACAGTACAAGATTTGTTAACGCGATGTCTTCCAAAGAAGGAGGAGAGAAGACTAAAGTAAATAAAACGTTGGCATTAGGATATCTTTGATTATCTTAAATTGACTTCTTTTTATATCTTTTTAGAATGCTCAAGGAGCTGGTGATAATAAAGAGAAGAGAAGGAAAGAATCTATTTTGGATTTGAGTAAATACTTAGAGAAAAGCATACGAGTTAAGTTTGCCGGCGGTCGCGAAGCCGCGGGTATTTTGAAAGGTTATGATCCATTGCTAAACCTTGTACTTGACAATACAACAGAGTTTTTAAGAGGTACGTTTTATTTTGAATGTATATTTTTCATATATTTAGCTAGTACTTTTAGAAATGCGACTCATAGACAAATTTTAGCCGCGAAAACTCAAGAGGTTAATGTTGTTTTCAGATCCAGACGACCCTTACAAACTTCTAGACGACACAAGAGCTCTTGGATTGGTTGTGTGCCGTGGAACATCAGTTGTCTTAATATGTCCAATGGATGGCATGGAAGCCATACCAAACCCATTTATAACTCAAGAAGGTTGAACCTAGTGTTTATTGTATTTAATGTAAGGATTTAAAATAAGTAATAAATAAGAAAAAAAATTCTTTATATTTGATTTTATTACAAAAATTATTGCACATCATTAGATCATTGCTGCTTTTATTGAAGGCAAAAATAAAGTTTGATGAGTACACACACATTTTTCATCTTAATAAAACTGAATTGCCCTATTACATCGGAATAAGAAGAATAAAGGCCATGTTAAAGGATTGAAAATTCAGGTATTTTTACAATCTTACATTGTTTTTATTGCTAAATATGCACAATAACATGACACTAGCATTATCTCATGACATCACTGTTCCTGTATAAGATTATTTGCCCACAACAAAGACAAGAGCATCCTTACATTCATGGGGTGTCAATATTATTGTTCATATATAGTGGTATGAAATAAAATTATACTTATTACCAAGTACCTTAACATATAAAGTTTGACTTAAATATGGTAACTTTAATTTAGATATAATTTTATTTTTTATTAATCAAATCCAAACTCATTTCTTATCCAAGGATAGCTTTTAGGACAATCTACACATGTAATCATGTATTTGTCATGTTCCAATACTTTAGAAGGTAGTTTGCATGTCCTAGGTTTGCTGCAAGCTATTTCATTTTCACGGAAGCGACGATCCTTGCATTGCCACGGTTGGAATTTCTTTAATTGGAGTACTGGTGTTGGTCGTTTCATCCACTCAATAACCTCTTTATATGTTACGAAGTAAACATCTGGTAGCCTTAATAGTTCTATTATAAATCTCTGAAAAAAATATGTTTTAAAATGTAAACCAAATTTACGGTCTGGGAACAACAATATGAAAACAGAATTTATGGTCTGGATACAACAAAAACTACTTAATACAAGACAAGCTTAATGCGTTTGTTTAGTAAAAATGATATATTGACAGATTTAAAAATCAATAAACACAAATGAATAAATGAAAAATCTTTGACTCAATGGTGGCTGCCTCGGCATTATGATTAATATTTGCATTAAACAAAATAATTGTATTTAAAATAAGTTCCAATATTACCTTCAAAGCAGCAAGGTAATGGCTATTTCGTAACCAAGTACCACTCAGATGTATGCCAAATGGAGCTCTATTTTTTAAATAATGCCTTTTGAAGTTGTTTAGTAAAATACCATATATATCATCGCCAGTAAGTGTAAAGTCGCAATGTTCAGGAGTTGCGTATGAATTATTTTTGCCATCTAACAGAGGATTTATAACCATCTGCCATAATCCTGCATAACTTCTTGTTGGACAATATTGATATTTTTCTGTAATAATACATAAAAGTAAATAATAATAGTAGCTAGTTCTTTCTAATAATCTATTGCAGAGTTTGTACAAATGTATTTGTGTATAAACTTAAATTATGTAAGTACTGCAAGTTATGTAGTGATCTGGGAGATCTCAGATTAGATTCTATCATCGCTTGGTCTTTTTTTTTAGGTATCTTAGTATACCAGGTATCTTAGTATACCAGGTATTTTAGTATACCAGGTATCTTGGTTTTGGTCCGTTATTTAACATTCTTAACAAAATGTATAGCGCATTTGAAATCTCTAGTACAACGAATTGTAAACACAATGTGAAAGATGAATTACAATTCAACATTGGCTAATATATTTCTTCATCGAGGGTTTGTATTATTTATTAGTTGAACAAGGAAGTGTTTAGCAAGTGTACACGGGTCGTCTGACATTTAAATCATGGTAAATGTATTACCTGTGCATTCGTGCGGCATTTTGTAATCGTGAGTGTAGGGCCAGTATGGCGGGTCGGAGGGGGGCGCTACTATCGTTGCATCGTAAACAAATCCAAACTCTTGCATCATAACAAACTGTCGGTTCCATCCGACAGATAAATAGGGTACCCGAAGACCTCTATACAAACATTTAAACAAAAGTATTTAATTATTAATAAAAAAATACCAAGCCGACTAAGTACGCTTTTATCAGTGTTGGAAAAATACCTGAAATCCTCCATCCATACTTTTCCAAACCTATTGATTATGTTTGCTTGGCCAACCATTTCGTCAAACCAATCTTCAACAGTGGCGTTCCTAGCCCACCATTCTTCTGGGCCACGGTGTCTGTAATTTTGAAATAAAGTTATTTGTTTATTAACCACATAAAAGAGACTCAGATTTGATAAAGATTACTTAGGAAGGACCTCAGTTTTAGTTTGAGAAACCTATTAAGTAGATTTCTATGGTAGTAAAATTAAAAATGGCTTACGTTATAGAATGTACAGCAATTTCGTGTCCGTCATTCCACAATTTCTGGACGTGTCTATAGTTGGTATAGGGGTGTGAGACAAAGAAAGTAGCCTTGATTGGACATCCATTGGGATTTTTACGATCGGATGTAAACAAGTGTTTGTTATAAATATCCCAGTTTTCGTGATTCACCGCTCCATTGAATGTGAGAGTGATCATTTGAGGTGTCTGTAAAGAAATACATCTGTTTAAATACTTTTTAAAATTTTCTTTATTTTTTAATTACAAACCTAAAGAGAATTCTAATATAATCTTCGCCGTCTTTAAGAATTACAAATCATCGGTTCAATCATTCGGTATCGGTTAAGTGAACTTTCATACAGAACAAAGCACGTTTTCACCAAACACTAGCCTCTGGCAGTTATGTAATATTGCTATTTGTAATTATGAGATAGAAAATGTTGCGACTCATTGGTAACAGCATCATTTTAATGTTCAATTTAAAAGTAACGCCAATATCTTACTTCCTCAATGTATTGTACCGTGAAAATAAGTTTGTTTTTTGTACAGGCATTGTAGTTTGCCTAGTTCTAAACATGCGCTGTATGAATTTATGATGAATAATTTATTTATTGTTTTATCTATTTTATTTATTATTTTTAACTTAAACAATTATGTGTATGGATATTGGATAAAAGACGCATGACTGATTAGTTGACATGTATGGAACTTCAAGTATTTCGACGATGAAAACGTACAGCATATGATGATAGAAATAATGCAGTTTTGGTACAATGTTTGTATAATATAAGGTAATTAGGTAAGTAGTGTGCATCGGTAGTAGAACGGAAGAGCATAAAATCACGCGATGAATTTGCTCGAGCGAATTAAATTACCTGATTAGGTACGAGATTTCCTGGTATTTCTTTGCCGGTATTCGTGCAGAAACAATCAGGTAACAGGCACATGTTGGGATCGCATGGTTCCGCTGAATTTGGATCGTTTGTAACGTCACACCAGGCCTACAATAAGATTTAGAGATATTAAAAAAAATCATACAGACTGACAGAACATTGGTGATCTTAGGAAGCAGAAGTTTTTAAAGTATTTTTTAGAAGGAATTAGTATTTTTTTAAAGAGAATTAAAGATATTTATTATTTTAATATTACTATTGCTATTGATACTTTGACTGTTAAAAACTTTATTGGCATTGAATAATTTCAAATTGAACAATGAAACCCATTTTCGTAACAATCTTAAATCATCACACCTAAATGATCCCTTTCAAAGCGTGAAAGTTTATGTCACAGTATTAGTGCATTATCATTAGAAATCTCGTCATGTTTCGCTTACGAAATGCAAGTGTCGACAACAACTTAGAGATGGCATAGATGCAACTGCTACTGTTGCACAACACGACTGTTAGTCATTCTAATTCACTAAATAGAATGCTTTCATTTGATGTTCAGTTTTGATTCAATCGTTAGTTTCCATTACCGTAACAATTGCATAAAAACATATCTTTTTTCTTTCGAAGGGTATGAGAAGGATATAAATATTGTTTTATTGTGTCTGGCCACTGAATACTAATATGAAAATAAAAAGAACATTTTAATGATGTAATTGTAAGGAAAGTTATGAGAATTCTGAACTGCGTACATTTTTTAGAACAATGGCAAATTCTTAAATTAACTAGCGGGTAAAAATCTTGGCTATTTCTATTCAGTAAATATTTGTTAATTATTTTTTTATACGTATTTATACTGTTTAAATACTTCGTCAGATAAATCATCGCAGTCAAATGAGCCATCGCAGAAATATTCCGCAGGTAAGCAGTGACCGTCCGCACAGCCCAGGTGTGTTTCGTTGGCACACATTGCATGCTCCAGAAGTGGTTGTGGTAGAACTATTTCTAAAATTATAAAATAAAATAGTCATCAAGTGATGTGTAATTCATGTTAGTGCTAAAATAGCAAAAAATATTTACCATTGTCAGATGTAAATCACAACCATCAAAAATGAAGCACTATAGAGCACAATATTTGCTACAGTACGATTTAACATTTTACTTAATTCAATAATAAATTATAGTTTTAACAAATATTTTTACCTTTCGTGACGTCACAGTTATGGACATTTTGATATTTATCGCATAGTTGTCGATTGACATCGAAAAGTCGCCCTTCCGAGCATTTGAATTCGAACACCTCACCCTCTACACAAAGATAGTATTTGGCACATTCGTTCTTTGTCCATAATATGTCTTCGGATCTATCCGGATTCCTATAACAAAAAAAAAACGTAATTTTCATTATGTCTTCCCGTTATAAAGTTCAAAATTACGTTACCCATCTAGATTAATCTCAATGAATCTAACATAAAACTTTTAGCTTTTGTCTCGATTTTTTACTCTGGTACACGTGAGAAAGAGGAGAGCGTCCCTAGGTGATTAAATATAAAATATAGCATTTTCTTAATGCTTTAATATAAATATTTTACTTGATTCATAGTGTCTAAAAAATTCCATAATTCCATTTAGATTATATAACTTGGTTACTCAATGCGTAAGCTTTTATTTTATGTAAAGTCCCAGTAAACATATTCAAATTAAATGATGTGTTTATTGTATCTGGTGACAGAGGACTTTAATATTCTATGTGAACCTAAAATTATCGATGTAACAACTACGAAAGGAAATCGATTTGTCAAATAGCCAAGTTCTAGCTCTCTATCACAGGTGTATGTTGAGGCGAAAGTGAATTTCACAAGATGACGCAGGAAGTGGTAATAACGTAGAACACAATGGTAGACCGGACGGTCGCCAATCGCTACCATAAGCCATTCAGCGCTGTCAAGGTTGGCGAAAGTATTGTGGGGTCAATAACCTTTTGACAACAACCATACTATTCCATTTATTTTCATCAATGATGCGTTAATTGCGTGTAGGAAGTGCATGATAGTGTTAGATAACAAGAAATATCATGATATCGGTTTGTTTGTATTTTCATATTTGTATTTCTTTCATTTTTCTGATAAAAACCACGCAAAATATTCAGTTGAAAACACATCGCGTATACTGGCTGGTTGGAAAATATTTTTTTAGTGTTGTTTTTCTTGCAACAATGTTTACTTCGAGAAAAACGTACATCACTGAATTATTCAGTAATTTATGTTTAGATAAATAATTTAAAGTATATTTTTAATACGATATTTATAAGCATTAATTTACTAAGCATTATGATTAAGTTTATTTATTATGAGTAAGTAAACTCATGTATAGATATATTTTTGTATATAGAAAGCGACAATAAGTAAACAAGTCTATAGGTATATACTATATTATACTTGAGTTCTGTTACGTTTAAAATAATTACGATATTAGATTTTATCTAGATTTAAAATGCTAGTTTAAAGTTGAACTACCGAAACACTCGTTGTCTCTGTCATTCTCCTTGCAAAATCTGGACAGCAATATGTTTTGTAAGGATCTTTTGGCAGTGGAAACACCCGGATATATTATTATATTTCACTGTCTTCTCAATGTACTTTTGTATAAGAATTACAAAATATAGTTTAAAGTGTCAGCTTATTGGTTAGATATGTATGCTTACACCTGATTTTATTTTTAATCTCAAGTTTCGCCACTGAAACTCCTATGTGACACTGATAAAACTTGGTAAACTTAAAACAAAATACAGAACAATTTATAGAATTTAAAACTCGAAGCCTAAATTATAAACTTTATGTAACCCATGAGATGTGTTCATCGCATAAAATATCGTATAACCGTCAAATATTATGAGTAAAGGTTCTTTAACTAAGATAATAAGAAAGGTAAAATATTCAAAAAAAATAATTAAATGTTTAAAAATACCGTACTATTTAGAACATGTAAAACACAAACCTGTAAAATCTGCCATTTTCAATACATTTAGTTTGATTTAAACTTGTGTGTGCCACTTGCTTTCCTCGCACTTCTGTAATAAACGTTTTTTGGTTTTAAAAAAATACGCACTTATCACAGTAAACAAAAATTGAAGCGCACGCAATTGTTAATTTGTATTAAAATTAATTACATAATGTATTTTACCTAGAATGGATAGAAAAGTAAAGCACAAGACGGCTAGCATAAACAATCTAACCATGTTGTTCGCTTGGTTTCCGTCAAAACACTGATTCTGTTACTCGATTCTATACAAGATACACTAGTGAACCGCTCGTTCATCGCCGGACACTGGCCACTTTCTTTTGCTCGGAAGTGATATAATTAGTACTTACTTCATAGCTTTTTAATTTACACCGATGTGCTGCGTGTAACTCAATAAATATCTCAAATTACGGTTTCAATTTTGATGCGGATTACTAATGTTTTTATAATTCAGTAGATTCCTAGAAGTAAAAGAAATTTTATCCCTTTAACGACAGCTCTAAATATATCTCGGTTGCAGATTGATTGACATTAAAATACAAGGTCATACATATTTGCGTTGGTATGTATAATAGTTTTAAAAGTACTAAGATATATTATAAAAACCAAAACTGTAATACATATGATGATCGTAGATTTGAATCTAGGATCATGAGCGCAACAAGTTCACTATCCGCTGAGCTATATACTACACAGACGAGATATGGGTTACATATCTCGTCTGTGTAGTATATAGCTCATATACATTTTATAATTTGAATATTTTTATACGTTGTGGAATATTAAATAATGCATGACAATATAATATAGTATAATTTTTCTTTTCTTAAATTTAGTATTATAATTTTAAGAAAAGAAATGGAAGATAATAGAATATATCTTGTTAACTTAGAAAAAAAACCATTTCTGCGAAGTGACTGTAACTTTATACGAAAATTATTTGTCTGTGATAACCGGTTACCGGCTGTCAAAGTCAATATCAAATATCAATAAATATTGTTACCATATCACCTGATTCTGAAAAAACTTCGAATTATTTTAAATATTTTAGTTATAGTTTATAAAAATGAAGTGCACAATAACGGTTGTTCTGTTATCAATTTTATTTAATTTATGCTTGACTACTTTATCTCCACCTAGCGATAAAAAGACTCAAAAAAATGTAAAACCACAGGAAGGTGCTAGGAAAAATAATGTACTAGATCGTAAATTAGTGGTTGAAAATGCTTATGTGAAGGATATTTTAAAATATCACGCAACTTACCATCAGGATGTTTCATTCAGGAATTTTAAAAACCCAGTATTGGGTTACGTGACGCCGGTAAGTTCATTTATTTTCGCTGGTGGTGTGTTTGAAGTACAGTGATCTTAATAAATATTTTTAACGATATGTAACCGTAGTTTCATTTGAAATTATATTTAATACATCACTACTACTCTGTACTAAAGTAATTAATTTATTTTAGTGGAATAGCAAAGGCTATGATGTTGCAAAAACATGGGCTCCAAAATTCAACTACATTTGTCCTGTTTGGCTGCAAGTAAAGAGGCAATCTCCCAGTATTTACATCATATCTGGATTACATGATGTTGATCATGCATGGATGAAGTCTGTAAGACAAAAAGGTTCCCAGAGTAACTTGAAAAGTATGTATTCATAGATTAAATATTTAAAAACAATGTTTATACTAACATTAGATTCAAAATAGACATAAAACCTTCACTTGTAATTTATTAATTGCACTTAGTAACAATATTTTAAAGTTGTCATTAAGCATGCGGCCATTTGGTTTTAGTTCTTCCAAGGTTGCTGTTTGAGAATTGGCAGCCATCAGATCTGAAAGCATTCTTTATGGACCCAACAGCAAATGTGGAGCAAGAAGCACTTATTAATGAAGTAAAAAAAGCCTGTAAACAGTGGAAGTTTGATGGTATTGTCCTAGAGATTTTCTCTCAAATTGGGAAGTATATTGAGAAATCTGTAAAATTTATTCAGAAATTTGGTAAGTCTTTGTGATTAAAGAATATTTAGAGCAGTATACTCAGCATTAATTTAATAATTAGAGTTCATAAAAGTATTAAAACCAACAACTAAGTTAAAATAAATATTCAATTTGTCTTATTATTAATCAGTGCACATTTTTATTAAGATACTACATGGATACAGCATCTGCGGGACCTCTGGCTTTGCAGATGTCCATGGGCGTTGGATCAAATAATATTAGGCGATTTGTTGCTCATTTGCCTTTTCTATAAAAAAAAATTATTATTTTTTTCAGGTTTAGCAATGGATGATAATGATTTTAAGCTTATCTTAGTTTATCCACCATTCCGTGGTTATCCTAGTGATGATTTCTTAGTGCAGGCTTTCAATGAAATATATCCTTACATAGAAGCAGTGTCTGTGATGACTTATGACTTTTCTAATCCACAGAAACCAGGTTAGTCATCAAACAAAATACCCTTATTCCATCTTATTACTTATTCCAAACAAGTACAAGGTTTGATAACAGTAAGGGTTAAGCTTGAGTAGTTTAACTTATGTTAAACATTTACGCTCCTTAAATTATATTAATGATTAGATTTGACACTTTCTTTTTCATATGAAATTAGATAAGTATAGGAATGTTATTTCTTATAAGATTATTTAATCGTGTGTTTCTGAGACCAAAATCCCCATTTAAAACATAATGTTATCTCTGTTTTTGTTAAAAATAATGACAGGGAGGATATGTAGTAAAAAGATTTTGATCTAATAAACCAACGCTTATACATTAAATTTTATTGTAAACTGGAAATTAATGTAAAAGATGCTATTTTTTTATATTTGCTTTTGATGTTTATTTTAGGTCCCAATGCACCATTGAATTGGATAAGATTATGTGTTGAAAAACTAATGAACAACGAAGACAGTACAGAAAAAAAATCTAAAATCCTATTAGGATTAAACTTCTATGGTAACGCTTATACTGTTAATGGAGGAGGTCCCATTGTTGGCTCAGAGTATATTGAACTGTTGAAAAATGCTAAAAATAATCAGGCGCTCACATACAATAATAAGACAGGAGAGAATTATATTGAAGTCAGGTGAGTTTATTTCTTACCTTATTTCATGTTACGAACACTAATTTAAAATCTTATAAGAAAAAAAACTGAGTTATATAATATATGCATATATTAAGAAAAAACTACTTATCTTAGATTTTTATTTTGTTTTCAGGACATCGCAGGGTGCTAAAAAGATTTTCTACCCCTCTCTTTACTCAATACACAAGAGATTAGAACTAGCCCACATGTATGGAACTGGAGTAGCTATATGGGAATTAGGACAAGGTCTTGATTACTTTTATGACCTATTTTAATACAATACTATACTAAGTCAATTTATTCAATACCTTAAATATTCATAGCAACTCATACGTCTGGGAATAAATATTGTAATTATAATAATAGTCAAATGAATTTGAAATAGTTGAATAGTATTAGATGTGCTTTTATTAACACATTTACCGTGGGTTTCTGATACCTAACTCTGTGTATTAATCATAGTGTCGTCCCTGTCATTATCTTTGCCACCACAGAGATAGCAATATCTTATATATAAAATTCTCATGTCACAATTTTCTTTCCCATACTCCTCCGAAACGGCTTGACCGATTCTCATGAAATTTTTTGAGCATATTGGGTAGGTCTGAGAATCGGACAACATCTATTTTAAATCCCGCGCGGACGGAGTCGCGAGCGACAGTTAGTATAATATATAAATAATATGTTTTAAACAGAGATTTAGGTGTCAGAAACCCACTGTTGGTGTCACTGACTCGTCTGGTGAGTTGACTTTCATGTGATAAATACCTGACATTGAATGTGTTAATATAAGTATTTTGCACCTTCAATATTTTTTCACCTTCAGATTTAAAAACGATGTATCTTATTTATAAAATGCATTATACTGAAGAATAGAATAGAAATCTCAATAAGTGTCTATCATTTATTCTTCATTCAAATATATATAACAAACATTGATTCAGTCTTTAAAATTTATTCAACCACGCAAAAACTTACAATTATGATATTAAGATATGTCAACAAAATATATACATATAAAATTACCCAGACTACATAACCGTAAATTTCCGCTGTACATCGATTCTAAACACGTTATCTTTTTAATTTTTTTTTAAATAGCAATGTCAAAAGATAACAATGTCTTTGTTCCAATGTTATTATAAACTTGTATTTAAACTTTGTATATATAGTCTGTGGTCTTATGTGGCTTAATTTTAAGCTACGTTTTGTTTCTTCTTTAAATCCATCATAGACTGAGGTCCTTTCATGACGCGATGCATCAGGTCCCAGCACATTTTAGCTGGCAGCAAACTGGTAAAGGAAAAGAACATGACATTCTTGAAATTCACCAAAGCGGTTATAATGCTATATATTTTAATTGAACGTACTGTTAATTCGTGGAAATTGTGTAAAAATGATGTGAGTAATATGGATTAATTATGTTGAAGTATATGTTTGTTTGACCAAAAACATTTTGGAATTTAAGTTTTCGTGTGAAAAGTGTTGCCTATCTAGTGCCTATTCTATATTCAGGTTTTGGTTGAACCAAGGAATACACTTGAGGTATTTAAACGCAATACTAACGCCATTTTATGCGACACTTGACAAGACAAAAGCGGCTCGGTCTAAACAAGATTTGTAATATTTACCACTTAAGCGGTAGGAGGTATCTAACGGAGCCGGGCATCACGCAGTTGACCTCGTTCTTCCTGATTGAGTCAATCATAGTCTCGGCCACGTAGTCTGGTTCAAGCATTGGCATGAGGCGTGGCGTTACTCCGTCAAACATACCCGTGTTGATATAGTAAGGACATACTAGCGTAGCATAGATCGTGTTGTGGCCGTGAGCCTGAAAATGTACATTATTATGACTTTAAAACACACTGACTAACATAATTTTAGCATCGCTGGAAAGTCTTGGCGTGTGGAGACTATAACTAGCGAACCTACCGTTGGTTTTTGAAAATAAAATATAAATAAAACATATCGACATCCATGTCATTATCTTTGAGAAAACAGAGTTTGAAACGGGGATTATGGTCTCGGAAACCCACGGCAAGTCTTTTAATGTTATAGGTTGTGATAGGATCAGTAACTCACCCTTAGCTCTGTAAATAAACTCTCGTGGAAGCCGACTGTTGCAAACTTAGTGGCGCTGTAGTCAGTGCAGCGGTAGGTGCCGAGCAGACCCGCCACCGAGCCTACTGTCACTATATGCCCTTTGCCTGTCTTTATCATTTCGGGCAAGAAGGCTTTTACGGTCTGAAATCAAGAAAACAGCACAGTAATTAGTAGAAAGACTGGCTACGTATGTATATCTGAAAATCCATTGGAATGTAACCCTTGGTTAAAATTAGTGTGATATAAAATATAATATATTCGCATGTAGAGAAACGCAGTTAAAAATGCACTTCATCTAAATATAAACGCACACACACGAGTCAAGAGCGCGCAATTAAGTGATCGTTATCACAAAAAACGGAAATTCCACTAAACGAATAAAACCTACACGTTAAACATAACAAGGGAACTTATGGGAACTTACCCAATAATGGGAGAGTATGTTGACTTTGTATGTAGTCTCTATAGCAGCATCGCAGAGTTCCAGTAGGGTCTCGCCGAAC